TCGAGTCTGACTACTTTCTACTTGAACTCTGCGGGCATGCGAGAGACAGCCATAAAAGGTTGACCAGACGAGATTACTGTAGCAGCTCTTCTGCCCTCTCCTGACGCAACAGCAACAGCGAAGCGTTTTTCAGACCTTTACTCCACGTCTTTTGGTGGTTTCACCCGGAAACGAGGGTACTGTTGCCGCGGTCATGGTACAGATCGGCGCACTCAAAGCAGTCGATCCGCAAGTTGAGGTTGCCCCGGAGACAAGGATTCTCCAGACCGTCGAGAAGATGGCGTTTTGGTCACTCTCACGACCGTCAATCAGGAGACCGGACAGTTGAGGCAGAAGATCGGGTTGGGCAGTTGAGTTGCTCGTCTCTGTCGCCTTCGAAGGGCATTTTGCAATAATTCTGTTGTTTTTTTTTACCTTTTTTCCCCCTTTTCTCCCGTTGCCAGGCGTGCTCATTCGCTTGGCCGAGAAGCTAACAAGTCCACGATCGCTGTCGGCTCTGAACAAGGCACTGCAAATCCATCTGTCCGACGCAGTCGCTGTTTTGCAGGCTCGACTCCTCTCCATCGAAGACGAGGTAGGCCCATCTCTGATGCTCATCTTTCCTCATCGTCACAGACAGCGCTCCGTTTTCCATTCGTTCTTTCATCTTGGCTGCCACGCTGGCAACAGATGATCTATCGAAACCCTGTTTACTTCCACGAATGTGGTTTGTCGCGTTAACTCCTCTGCCCCAGTTTGGCGTCAAACTGCAATTGGTACTAACAACTCAGTCTGCCTGGGCTGCTTCGGATGATTTAAGCACTGCCAGTCGAGCTTTTCATGACACCAAATGAATAGCATTTCATTTCTCTTGGCTTTTATTCCCACAAGCCTTTCTCATTCAGCCCGGGCTGCAGTAGCCACCTCGTCTTATCGTCTCATCGTCTCATTTGCCCCCTCAGCACAAGACGAACCCGGCTACTGCACCAAAGTGGCGATAACTCATCGCTTGGATACCGGACTACAGTTTCCGGAGGTTAGCAGACAGACATGACCTTCAAGGCAAGCCAGATCTCCGTCAAATAACCATTCATAGTGGGTTCTTCGATGGGTATTCACCCATCAAAGCATACCCACAGAGAAGATGAATTCACATTTCCGGAACTGGCTTGAAATAGTTTTCTCAGGACGTTTTTTCACCGAAAATCACTGTTAGTATAGTGCATTTTTTCTGCTTATTCACAACTGACATCATCATCTCTTGAAGTAGTAGGGCCGGCATCGAATGCTCTGAAACTGGAGGCTTTCTGAAATGTCATTGACTCGGCAACAACGCAATGTGATCGCACTCTTCCAGATCCTCCTCCTCGACCGTTTCTTCTATCGGCTATTGCTGGTGCAGAGGCCGATTTAGAGCGCGATTGACACAGTTCTAGTTCTTCACGAGCTGGTTGAGCCTCAGTTTCTTTTACCTTCCAACAAGCTATTTCGACAGCAAAACATGCTTCTTTGCCGCACCGAGTCAGACGCTGGCTGGGTTTTACAGTGTCGAGATGTCGGCTCAGTTCAGAGACTTTCTAATCTTCAGGATTACGACCCATCTTCGCCTCTTAATTTGGTATGAGAGTAGGGTTTCGAGACTACCATTAAATCAGTGTAATGAGATGCATTCACACTATTTCGTTTAAGCTAATGAAGGACTGGTAGAAGAAGAATTTTCCCACAATGTTATGAGTTGAGCTGACGTTTCCATTCAATTTCACATAGCCTTGCTTTCCCAAAAGTTGTTCTCATCCCAACTGGAGTGGACTGCAGTTTCGACCTCGCATCTGTCTGATTTACTGGTAGTCTCGAAACCCTACTCTCATAAGAAAATAAGTAACCTAGTCGATTGCTATGGCAAACATACGTTTGCTTCATCGGTACTCCCAATAAAGAATATGATATAGCAAAGAGGCCTGACCTTCCTTGAAATTCATCTATGACCTGTGACTCAAGGGTACTCGTGGCAGTGTAGCCGAGTGGTTAGGGTGTCAAGTTCCCATCATGCACTGTCGCGGTTCGAATCCCGCTGAGGGTGTTGATAAGACCAGTTGATGCGAGGTCGAAACTGCAGTCCACTGGTTGGCTGGATGAGAACAACTTTTGGGAAAGCAAGGCTATGTGAAATTGAATGGAAACGTCAGCTCAACTCATAACATTGTGGGAAAAATCTTCTTCTACCAGTCCTTGATCACCTTAGACGAAATTGGGTGAATACATCTTATGTGTCAGTTTCGGGCTAATCGGGTCTGCGAAATTCTTCTCTCGACATCTTTTCGATGACCTGACACATTCTGACCTTTATTCAGAGAAGGATTTCGAGTCAGCCCAGGTCGCATACGATGACGAGGGAAGAATGACTGTGAAATTGTCACATTCGTAGGATTGTGGGAAATTCTACTTTCCAGCCCTGTTCACCTAATTCAGCCTGGGCTGACTTAAATTCTCACATTCTAGCCTGACTGGCCAATCTGAGAAGGTCAACGGTGGAAATTAAAGCAAGATGAGTACCACAGAAACGGCCGCTGTGCCTTGTCCGTACAGTCAGGACATGTTGGTAGGAGACAGGGAACATTTGGGACCACCGAGAATGCAATCTTTGGTAACTCAATTTGATGACACGAGTCCCGGAAGAGGGACATGGATTTGTCGTAGACTCCGAGTACTTTGGGCTAATATGGCTCCAAAAG